AGTTCTTACTAATGGGATATAGGAGGAGGTAGTAGAAGCCATTCTTAACCTAGCCCATAGAATTTTTTCAATGTGATTCTCTTTCCTCTCTTTCCTTATCCTCTGTGTGAAGGGAAAGGAGTCTTTGGAAGAAAGAAAAGATGGAAGTCACTGTGCCAGGAATGACTAAATGCAGGCACCAGGCCAGGAACTCATTGTCACATGAGTGTGAAATAAACTTGCCTTATTTAACCCACTAAGGTTCTTAATTATTCCAGCAGTTAGCATTATAGTAACAAATATGTTATTTAGTGAATGTGTGCTCAATGTGACTCACATGTATACTTTTTAAAACTTTACAAAACTCATTATATTTCTGTAAAATGAAGTTAGGCACAGAAAGGTTAAGTAACTTGCTCAAATTCACACAGCCGTACTGAGCTGGGATACTAACCCAAATAGCCCAAATCAAAAGACCTGGCTCTTAACCATGACAAGAAACTGACTCTTTTAATACAGGAAACATTTCTCAGTGTAGCATGTGCCATGGAGTTAGCTCCTAATTTATGTTTGCTATTATTATACAGACAATAGAGCAACCAAATGGGAAGCAAATAGTTGAAAACAAAAAAACCAGATTAAAATTCTCTTATCAGCTAAAATCTTTATAAGACAAAATCAAAGAAACAAAATTGCCTTTTTTTGAGTAAAGTCTTGGATAAAGGAAAAAGAATGAAAATAGAAAAAGTTGAGTATGTTAATTTGATAATTCAAACTATAGTTTATATTTATAATTCAATATCAAAATGGCATTTCCAATCAAGTATGTTTCTTATAATACACATTATAGAAAAGAATTTTAAAAGCCCCTATTTCTCTCCAAAAGAAGATGTATGGAATTATACAGTCATTTACCATTATAGTATCAAACATTTTTTAGTGATATGAAGATGTAATGTAATCCAATTACACAACTGACTCAATTCATTCATTAAAAATATTTTACTAAGTACCAATTACGTGCAGAGTGCTGGGCTAGCAGATGGCCATATGGTCTCTGCCTCCAAAGAGTATAGGGCAGTGGTGGCGAACCTATGACACACATGTTATTTGTTTTTCTTTCAAGACAAAAGATGTTAATGTTATGGGTTGTTTTTTTCTAAACTGAAACCTCAGCATTCAAGTTTAAATATAGTGTTGGCACTTTGTGATAAATAAAGTGCATTTTGGGTTGTAGTTTGGGTACCACTCTCTACAACATTTGCCATCACTAGGGCTGGGGATTTAGCTCAGTGGTTCCGCCACCTGCCCCAGAAGTGCAAGGACCCCAGTTCGATCCCCACTACCAAAAAAAAAAAACACCACATTTGGCATCACTGATACAATGTCTAGTTTTGCAGTGTAGGCATTCTCAGCAGGGTGGGGGAGTTCCTCTTCTAGGGCTTAGTTTCCTGTGTATATAGCAAGGAGGTTGTACTGGATCATTGTTAAGGTCTCTGAAGCAATTAAGGTCTACAAGTGGAAATAGGATCTCTTATTCAGCCAGGTATAAAATATTATTTGTTGTATCCAAGGTTGTAATTCAACTAAAACTGTAATAGTATCATAATCCTATTAGTGTTAGTTTCATTTAGAGCAAATAAGCATCTTCATTTCCTAAAACTGCAGGGTTTCCTGACACATAGGACTCTTAGGACTAAAACCCAACAAGTCTCAAATAAACTGAGATGGTGGGTCACCATTGGTCTGTATCAAGTTATTAGACTTAAATGCTAAAACTAATTTTAATTACAGAAACTTCAGTTAATGCTTCTTTTGTGTTGGAATGATTTCATATGCTATAAAAAACTAGAAGAATAGGGACTATGTATATGTAGTAAACCCACTCAATTGTCTAAAATTTTTAATGAAACAGCATGTTTGTCATGAGATCACAAGAGCCACATTATAAATTATATAATCATCAACCTCTGAGTTTGGTGGTGGTTATTTAAAAACTAGAATTATTAAGACATTTGAAGAATACTGACTGCCAGTGCTCTGTTAATATTTCAATTAGAGGGAGACATATTTTCAACTTTTAAAAATTGTGGTTTTAAATGGCAAATTATAATTTTGTTCTTAAAATACAGTGTTCTTTTAAAGATTATTCAAATATGATCATTCTCTAAAGTTTCATCTTTCTTTTTTCCTCTCATTTGCTGCACAGATCCGTACAATTAAGTTAATACCAATTATAATGTTCCTTCAAACCAAAGCTAAAGAACCTCAAGGGGATTATGGGGGAATCCAGAGAGGTTTGTAGTTCTCAACACATTCAACTCTAGGGGCAAGAACTCCTCCTAATATCAACAGTAAGACCTGGCTCTTCTGGGAACTCTTGTATGCTTTTCTCCAAATCCCATTCTTCTTCAAAGACTCCAATGTATAATACCCTCAAGAAATAAATCTTAAGATAACCCCCACTCCTTTTTGCTGCTTATTAGATTCAGAATCTCAGAACTGGAATATTTCAGACGTATTTGAGGACTTCAACCAAGAAACAAGTGAATCTGGTCTGGCTATGCTGGTTTATTAGGTGTGTCTTCTTCATTCACCCAAGTAACAAAGGGCTTTTAAGTGAAAGTTCATAAAATATTCCCAAATATTGCAAAGTTGAAAATGGCATTTCTCGAAATTTGGACCAATTGATCATTTAGGAAATTCATCAAATCTCCAGTAACTGGATAAATTTCAGACTCTTATCATTGTTATGCCTCATTTGTCCTCTCCTCCCCCGACATCAATCTAGTCCAAAACAGAGTAATAAACATCCTCCAGTTGGAGTCCCTTTACCCATCTCTGACACAAACACATAAGTGTAGTGATCAAGTAGAAATAGGCAGAGCTTTCTTTCTTAGTCTTTCTTGCTTTGGAGAAGAGGAAAATTAGTTTAAATAAATAATGTGCAATGTGCTGATTCAAAAGGAAATGAATTGAACAGCAGGGAGACAAAGCCCATTTCTTTCATTGGAACTGTTAGTGTCTTTAAGATATTCTGTCACATGACTCAGTTATAGAATTGTCATCACTCCTATCTGAACTGATATCTTGTGCTAGCCCTCAAAACCTGGCTAACAATGTCTAGTGCTTACATTTGGCAAATGCTTACTATATACCAACCATTGCCCTAAGGATTTTACTTATTCTCACTTAACCAGCACAATCCATTGGGATAGGTACTGTTATTAATCCCACTTTAGAGCCAAGGAAATTAAGGTTTAAAGAGGTAACTTTCCCACAGGGACACAACTCATAAATTTCAGTGTTGGAATTTAAAGCAGTGGTGGTCTGGTTTCAAAGCTTATACATTGGTGCCTGACTCATACCATTCCCATGAAGTCTCTTTCAATACCTGGAGGCAGCTACAAATTCTACCTCCTAGGAGTAACTCAACATTATTCAGTGCTTCAACTACCTCCCAACCCAAGACCTACCTCCATACTGTCTATACCTCACAGGTACAATATTATCTCTCTTCCATTCCCAGGAAGATAGGCTGGAAAACAGAGAAGACTCCTAAGTCCTTGAATGATAAGATTCAGGTTCTGTACTTCTCCCAGTGGCCCACCTTCTTTCACAAATTTTATGCCACACACATTCTGCAGGAAAAGGCAGGAAAGAGACAAGCATATGTTGAAACTTGGAGAAGGTTCTAGACTCAACCTGCTTTGAAAGTTCTTAGATCTTCTTATTCACATAAAGGCAGCATGGGCCTTTTTGTCTGGCTGTCCCTCTACTCTTCTCCTACCTTTTAAACTGAATCCTAATAGCACCTTACCCTTGAGCTTTCTAAGGTACACTTATGACCTACGGTATCTACAAAATAGCTTCAGGACAACATGAAGCAGACAAACACTGAAGGACATCAAACATGTATCAGATAGCTATGCAAGACATCAAAATATACTATAGGAAATCAAGAATATAAGATTATTGCCATTGCATTTCTCCCCTGACCTCAAAGTGTTCAAAGTTGATTCTATAATAATGTATTCTTCAAATTTCCCCCAGCAGTTCTAAAAGGTCTGATATTGTAAGGAAATGCAATCACATTCTCCAACCTCAGTACTGACGGGCTAACGATGTGCTATCTTAAAGCTGACTCCTCCAATAGTGTGTATCAAGGGCTTTTCTTGAGCACTACTCTGGGCTGCCACTTTGAAGTTAAGACTATAGTTCATGCCCAGTTTCCAAAGACCTATTTCCATCCCTTCCTTCTGCCCTTGCTCTCAGTAACTCTCCACTGTAAACCAATTGCATTCTCAATTACTCCACATATTTGAGCACAACTTTAACACCTAACAAATCGGAAAGCTGTAAGTTTGAAGTTTCAGAAACGTTTTCTGAAAGCCTCCTTCCGTCAGAAGTGGCTTTGCCATTCAGTTAAGTGTCCCAATACTACTTCCCGCAGTAAGGGCCTATCCACCGCCACGCATGTACACCCACCTGGGATTGTACACACAGCCCAAGGATTCACCATATATTTTAAGATCAAAGGTCTGCTCTCAGGCTGAAATCTGGTTATCTCGGGTTGAATTTTGTCTGCTTCTCAGCCCTGAAACAGAGTTCTGCCCAGCTCAGAGATTTATGCACCCCCCGTTGTGCCTAGTTGACCTTCACATATAGTATTTTTAATTACTATTGTATTATTATTATTGTTGTTGTCCTTGGGTTTTATTGCTAAGAAATGGGAGTATTCCTTGCCTCTCTAACCTTGCCTCTCTAATCCTGTCCCCTAGACAAAAAGCGCTGGCCCGGTGCTCCCTGCAGCGCCCCAGGCCCGCCTTGCAGCGCCTTTGTTGGGCGGGCTACTCGGAGCCCCAGCAAGCGGCTGAGCGAGAGTGGGTTGGGAGGCTGGAGGCGGGGAGGCGGAGGTCTGGAAGGGGGTCGGACCGGAGCGGAGGATTCAGCGGAGCAACCAATCGGCTTGTGGCCCATCAGCTGACTGCTTTTGCTTACACCAGGTGCACGCCGGCTGCGGGGAGCACAAAGCGGGGCGCACCGAGGGCGCAGGCAGCAAGCCTGGGAACGAGGGAGGGCCCACAGCGCCTGCCGGGTGGGGAGAGGGACCATCCGTTGGCGCAGCCCTGGCGGCGGCATCTCTAGATGCCCGGGTGCCTTCCTCGGGATCTGACCGCTCGCTGCCCTGCCCGCTGCACCTCAATTCTCTTGCCCTCCTTTCCAATTTTGCCTGCCTTTACCTTGGCCCCAAAAGCCGGATTTAGCCCAGTACAGCGCAGCAGCTGTTGCTGGCGTTGCTGCCCCCTCTCTGGTCTTGGTGCTCTGCCTTGGGTCCCCCAAGGAGCCAGTGCTTACTGCGGGCTGAGAGGGAGGCGCCGCTCAGCCTGACCTCCTCCTCCTCCTCTTCTCCTTCTGCTGCTGCTGCCACCACCGGTGCCCAGTCCGCGCGCACTCCAACACCCCACCAGCCGGGCCTTGGGGTAAGTGCGCGGGCCAGCCGGACCTCGCTGGGAGGTGTGGGTGGCAGCGAGGGGGCAAACTTGGCGGCGGGGCGAACCCTAGAGGGTTTGGAGGACCACAGGAGAAGATCGCGGGCCTAAGCGGGAACTGGGGGCGCGGCTCTTGGAGCTGGGGAAAATGACGAAGTCAGGGTAACGAGAATCTAGTTATTCTCCTCTCCTGCAACAAAAAAAGCAGGGTCCAGGAGAACATAGTTGGGAAGAAACCCAGACAGAAACGAGCAAAAACAGGCATGAAAGCCTAAGCCGCTGAATTTCAGGGACAGACCCCGGGGGATGGGAAGGAGAGATGGCATTAGAAATGTGAACTGAGGAAGACAGCTGGGGACCAGAAGAGCGTGGAAAAGAATCCGGGGAGTTGGAAAGGGGGCCAAGACAAGGGAAAGGAAGGTAACAATTGGGGGGGGGGGGATCTTGGCTGGCGGCCTTATTGGTAAGAGAAAAGGGCAAGAGGTGTAATTCACAAAGCATTCAGTGTGTTGAAGTCAGAATTAGAACCGACTGAACTCTCTCGTGGTCTGCGAGTAGTGCGGGAGAGGAACCTCAGCCTGTATGGTTTGAGTTCGCAAGGGGCAGTAGTCTCAGGAGGCTTGCCAGGGATGCTGAAATGTCAGGAGAGTCTTGGTCCCCTCCAGCAACAAAGCCAGCGTCGGGTTCCTTGCTCAGCCAGGGTCAGGACCAAGGAAAGTTTGCCAGCGAGTGTCCTTTGTGCTGGTGCGTAGAGACTGGAGACGGGTGACTTTCCAGCTCCCTCGGTTCGCGCGGCAACCGCCTACTGCAGGAGGAGTCCCTCCCTGGCAGGCTGCAGGGCGCAGCGCACCCTGGACTGACGGGAAAGTCCATCCTGGGACTATTACAGGAGAGCGGGCGTGGACTTGCCGACCGACCGAAAGGTTAGGCGGTGATACCTACTCCGGGAGGTGGGGCCCTTACCTGCCATATTCACCATTGTGGCCCCAGCTCCAAAAACAGTGCCACTGTGAGTGAATGAATGAATGACCCTCCAGTGGTTTTGAGATGCCTGGACCACACAGGCAAAGGCCAAAAATCTAGAATATGGGCTCTTAAATTCCATCCCTCCATCAGTATTTTCATTCCCAGACCCAGAGAATAAAGGAAGTAATTGAAGTCGGTGGTACTACTGACTTGGGCTTTTGCATGTAGGATTTTCTGCAAGATAATATGTCCTTTTCTTTTTGCAATTTGTTTTGACACAACAATCTAGACATTATTCGAATACGTTCGTTACTTTGTTTTTAAAAGCTAGGACTAGAAGAATGAAAAGTTCAACAAGATTTATACTTTGATCAATATAAATCTAAAAAGTGGTATTATTGGCTCCAGGGGCATTTGTGTCCCGAAGTCTCTGATTTGCATGCAAATGTGAGCGGATCCTGGCAGATGTCTGGCCTCATCCATTCACATGAAGGAATTTGAAAAGACAAGGAGTCTTTAGTCAACAATAGACCTTAAGAAAATGGAATAAAGGCGCAAGTGTGAGTTTTTCTGTTTGAGAATTCCCTGGCTTGCTGACACCTATATCCAAGAGCCAAATTCTTTGAGTGGTGTTACATTGAAAGTTCGAAGTCCACTTGCTCTTTACCTGGCTGTATGTGTTTATATAACATTCAAGCTGGATATTCTGAGCTAGATAGGAAAGTGTTTGAAGCAGACAGTAACTTTAATCCACTTCTGGTGGTCTGAACTGATTTCTGAATTGAGACCTCAACTTTTGAAGTTTCTTTTTCTCTGAACAGTTCTACCTCTTGCTCATATTTGTTCCCTAGCTTAGAGATAAGTAATAAAGGAGGGGATAGTTCCCACTGACCAACATGAAGATCTCAGTACAATGTTCACTGTCCAGTGAAAATCATTTGAATTCTTAAGGCACCAAACTTTGCAGAAATGCTGTCAATGAAACCATCCCATTCCTGGTAATAGACGCGGATGGATGATGGATCATAGAATAGAACAATAAACAGGGAAGCAGTCAAGCAACAGACCCCCAGAGGAAGGACCTTTCTGCCTGGCTAACGTTAGCTGATCAGCCACACTGCACTGTTCACCTCCTGGCAATGTGCGGCCACTAAACAAAGAGCAGGAAGTGTGGGCCACACGTGAGGCCGGGGATTATACCTCCTGCCAAACCAGCACCAGTGGCCTTTTCTTTTGTCAGTCTCAAACACTGGTGAAGGGAAAAAGAACCTATTCATTGAACAGCATTTGCCCCTCTCCTATATATTCACTGAAAGGGCATTAAAATACAACAACAACAACAAAAAGGACAACATTGTTTTGGAGGGCTGTGTTTTGGGGGAGGGTCGACAACAGATGTTGGTTTACTATTTTACACGTTTCTTGAAGTTAATTTTCCTGGCTCAGTGCCTTTTACATATAAGGCAGTACTTTCCAGAAGGGAAAAAATGAATTAAGTACAGTTTCAGTAAGAAAATGTTACAGCCAAGTGTGCATTTTCTGTCTTAGAGTTATATAGAAGTCAGAAAGTAACAAATCATTGTAATAAACTCTTTGGTATCTCTTGAACCTGGCACTTCCTGATGGAGTGGAAGTATAACTCTAAAATAAAAACAACATTTGTAAACTAAAACTATATATCATTTTGTTTAAGCACTATCTAGGTACTGTATTTTTTAAACAAATCTAAAATAACCAGGCCTCACTTTAAAATTTTGTCTTTGGGCATTATCCTGCCTGTGCAAGATCTTTATTCTAAAAAAATAAAAAATAAATAAATAAAAATTTTAAAAAAAGATCTTTATTCTACAACTAATGAAAGATTAAGTGAGGTCATTCTCTGGTAAATAAAAGTAATAAAGTACTCATTATTATAAAGGATCATTCGGCTAAAAAAAAAAAAAAAATGAGCCTAGATCTAACTGGATACTGTTTCTGGAAGATAATCACAGGTAGTTCTGGTTAATGTCTGAAATTCTTTAGAAAAGAAAACAAACTCAACCATTGATTTGCCCGTGGTTATACCCTGCTAACCCTAGATTCTTGACCTGAACTCTTAGAATCATTGATGAGTATACTATAGCAGTGACACTCAAGGAAATATATCAGGTTTTGTTTGTTTTTGTACTGGGGATTGAACTCGGGACCTTGCACTTGCGAGGCAGGCAGGTGGCACCACTGAGCTAAATCCCTGGCCCTATAGCAGGTATTTTTTCAATCTACCTATTCAAAGATATACTGTAACTACACAGTTCAATTCACTATAAATTTATAAATAATTATAAATAATCAAAACTACAGGCATTTTGTGCCACCTTAAATTAGCCATAAGTAAAATATAGTAAATTACAGGACATGGATGCCATTTTTCACTAGACTGTCACAGTGCTTTTTTAAAATTTATTTTTAATCTTCAAAATAATAGTTCTCAGAATGATTCATTTGAACACTAATATAAGGTTGCTCAAATATTGTATTTATTTTTTAAAATTATGGTGAACATCTATTTTGGGTTAAGCCAATCTGGAGATAAAGCAAATTCCATTTTAGGATCATTTTCATTTCTGGGAACAATGGAAATATCTTTAACTCATGAATAGAGCTTTGATTAATATTTTATTCAGGATGAAATTATAATTATATAGATGAAGTTAGAAAAACATGTACTCTTTTGTTTTGGCTTGAAGTACAAAATAGAGACAAAAGTTAAATTCTATCTGTAAAACGTAATATTTTAGTGACCAAGGTTACCATTTGTTCTAAGGCTGTTCTAAATGAAGTTTGTTTTTAAATTTTTCTTGTTTAAGCACATTACCATTCACCTTCTTAATGGAGGTATTAACAGAGTACAGCCTCCAAATCTCAAAACATAGAGAAATGCATAATAAATGGTCTACTGACATTGCAGTACAATCTATAAAATGATATATATTTCCAGACTTGTGCCATGCTGTAGAACTTATGTTTTTTAAAAGAAACAATATGAATGATTTCATGTTATATTTTTAACTTTTTGAATGTTCTCAAAAGTTGTAACAAAGGTAGGCTGTTCTTAGCAGTTTTACCAGTTATTTGTATAGCACTTTCTTAATCTGCTAACATTCAGATTCCTCAGTTGTAACATGGCAGAGTTGGGACAACAGGGCTGGAAGGACTATCATAGTCAGATTGCTAAAAGGTTTACAGAAGCTGTACCTTCAATACCACAACATGAACATTGAATTTGGATAGAACCATTATACCTAATGCACTGGAGATCAGCCCTGAAATGCAGTAAACTAGGCTTAAGTATGCACTGATACACATAGAAGGTCCTGTCCACTCTGACTTCAGAGTACCCTGTAAAGATGCCAGTACATTAGCTTGAGATACCTTATTTTGAAAGCTGTGGAGTGAAAACTGCTTTTATAGTGGCTTATTGCCTTCCATTTACACTCTTTATAGCTCAGGGGTTGGAATGTTATTTGAAAGCTCTGATTAATATAAATGAATTGTAATTTTCTGACCCAAGCCGCCCTCGTTCGCATCTATTATACCACTGGCAGACATGTGGACTCCACAGCTGTCCCCTCATTTGTGTATGAAACAGACACACTGGTGGCACTTTTGGTTACCATAGTTACATTAACAATATACATGTGACATGACATCTTAATGAAAGATTTTTTTGTGGCAGATATATTGTAGATCTGGGGGTAAAGCACAATTATTTAAAATTTGGGGAACACCAAACTGAGCCTGCTAATATTTTCTGGAGCCATTTTTTTCAATTATAGGTGAGTCATCCTACAGGAATGTCCAGGAAAGGGCATCCATAAGCCTTTTTTTGACAAAGATTTCCAAGGGAGGTATTTACAACAATACCTAACCTGCAGGAGAATGTCCATTAAACATTAATTTCAAGATATTTGCTCTTCCTATTTATGACTACCCTTTGTGGGATAATGTATTAGTATAGTCATTTTCAATTCATACAAAAAACCTGG